ATTCAAGAAGGTTCCATATCGGTACATGAAAAAATAAAATAAAACCATTTGAATTATTATTATTGAACTTCAATTTAGAAAATTAGCTTATTAAATGGGATATACGTTTATAGTAAAATAGCCAAATAGAAAACAATTCTTTATAAAGCTGATTATATAGCTTATTAACGGAAAAACAGATTTTAAACAGATATACAACTTTTTTTTTTAAATATTTTCAGTTCTTTTAGAACTAAGTGCTTTGGAAACTATGTGATGACGCTATTATTTTCGAAAGTCATCAAAGTTCTTCTACCTTTATTCCATAAGAAAAGATAACTGCAGTTTCTAATAATTCTAGCAAATATAAACAAATGATCTCAATATTATGGAACTTATTAAAAAGTCAGGGCTACAAATAACACTGTCCATTCCCTAGATACTAAGAAATATATCCTGTACAATCTCTCTTACATCAAGATTCTTTTGTCAATAAATTATTCCAGCGCCAAAATTCAAAATGTTTATATATGAGTGATAAACATAGTGGAAACACGAGCCTTCTGCTATAATCTGCAGCCTTTTAGATAAAAATTCAGTCAAGTTGTACCAAGGATGACTCACTTTTAGAACATACCATCTAAGGAATCATCAGAAAATTTTAACCATGAATATCAGAGACAGGTTAGGTTAGGTCCAAAGTGAGTGGGTCTATTCGACCCTCCACCGCAGCCTGCAAGGGTTTATTGTGGCTCACCTATTCACACTCGACCAAATAAACCCAGCTTCTTAACGAAGCCGATTAGTTTGTATGGTGAGTGGCCTTTCAAATCAGATGGCAAGAGTACGACTCTGCTGATCTCTAAAAACCTGATTCAGTCCCCAGCGGGGCAGGCACAAAGTATGTGCTCTGCTGTTTCATAATTTTCCAAACAGAGGCGACACACACTGTCTTTCGACAGATTAGTTTGTATGGTGAGTGGCCTTTCAAATCAGATGGCAAGAGTACGACTCTGCTGAACTCTAAAAACCTGCTTCGGTCCCCAGCGGGGCAGGCACAAAGTATGTGCTCTGCTGTTTCATAATTTTCCAAACAGAGGCGACATACACTGTCTTCCGACAGTTCGAGTCTCTGCATATGATGATTCAAATGACAGTGACCTGTAAGAAGGCCTGTTTAGACATCGTAGTTCATCTCCACTGTACTCCAACAATTGTTTTCTTGCCATCCAGGTGTTCAATCTTTTTTTGGCAAGGCCTAACTCCTTTGCAAGGGAGTCAGCAGCTTCATTGCCTTCCAGGCCAGTATGGCCAGGAATCCAGGCCAGAGACAATATGTTAAGTCTTCCTATAGAGGAGAGCCATTTTTGGCAATTGGCTACCAATTTATACGTTGCTTTTTAGGAGCCAAGAGCTTCCAACGCCACTGACTGTCCGCGAATATTTTTATTGA